TTTCACTCTCGTCAGTAACAATGTTGTATAAAAAACTCACCTTGTGCTGTGCTGACTTCTTATTGTTTCGGGTGAAGAGATGAGGGGCTCTGTAAATTGATCACCATGGTAACAAATTTCTTCCTGGAGATAAGATGGAAAAGAAAGAAACTGACACAATAATCTCATCAAAGTGTGCACTAAAAATGTTATTTTCTGAGTGTACAATTCAAGTTCAACTTCAAAGTAGGACAAAAGATTTCAACCAAATCCAATCTGATCATTACAAGAAGGACAAACATAAAACCAGATCAATAGCGTTCGTTACGAGGACAAACGGTTTTAACCAAGATCAATTGCGATCGATACGAGAAGGACAAACATTTTTTAAACAAAGATAAATGGTTATTAGAAGAGAATTGTACATTTCTAGGAATACTAATCAAAAGAACTAGTTAGTGTTGACTGGCACTGTGCTGATTGCTAATAGTCCCGAACAGAATTTTTCGTTTTTGAATACATTTCTGTTTATGCCGTCAAACAATTTCATTGGTTAAAATATACTGGATAAATGCGCATGTGCAATTTGCTGGATCACAAGATCATCAATGTACAACACTAGTTTAACCTTGAAAACAATCTTGTATACCCTGCATCCTTGATTATTCTATACATATGGCAAAATTAAGATTTAACAGTTTGAGTGGTTACAGAAATTGCATGTCTCGGCGGAAGGTGAAAACAGATTTCAAGATTTCTCACTCACTTAATGAGGAGAAAAGCTCACAGGTTTTGTTGAAAAAATATTTACTTTTGAATATTTACTTTTCAAAACATCCCTTCTTTCAAAATTTGAGTCGCTTGATTTTTTTGCCATGATCGATTTTCTAGATATTATAGTTTAATAGCATTTGTAGGGAAGACATTTTAGTCACTGTGACTTTATAATCACTGTCCTAAATGCCATTACTACAAAATGTGTTTTTTCTCTAACTCGTGTGATACCAACAAATTTGGATTTGGCAAAATTAAATCAGATTATAGTATTGTCTTATATTATGTCTAGCCTAATTAAGACAAGTATTTGATGATTTCACTTATTTTTAAAAAAATACTGTACCACTGAAGTTGGGCAAATCTTGTGAGAAACTGTTCATAAAGTGGAGATTCAGTCCAAAAATGCATGTTACTATGGTAACCAAAAGCATGATACATCTACATTCAGTGATGTACATGTAAACATTACTTTGATTTCTAAATTAAATTAAAGCAAGGGATTTGTCACCCATGTATGTGTAAGATGGCCATTAATACCCATGAGCCTTTGCATTTTTGACATGGGCTATTATCGTTACTTAAGAGACATGTGCGCAGGTGTCAAGCCCTCTGTTGTAATTTCTAACTTCAGTCTTTAAAGTGGCCATCACATGCTGCAATGAACACCCCCCTAGCCTCATAGCACAGATAGAGAAGTGAGAATCATTGGGGCACTTTTATCACTTTTATCATTAGCATCATTATTAAACAACAAAATGCACAGCAGAGCATCACTAGGCGTTACCGAGCATTGCTAGGTGTCGCTAAGTTAAATAAAAGTATAACCAACACAGATTTACAAAAACAATACATGCAAACTTACTGGTATTAATGATCGTGGACTAGTTGGACTAGAGACAACATATCTTATCTAGAAAAAAAATAATGATAAAGAAAAATATTTCATGCAAATATAAATAACAAATAGACAGATAAACATGACTGTATCATCGTTACTATAACACTGGACAAAATTACAGCATACAGTAGCAACATCTATCATAAATTTGATAGGTTAAGGGGTAACATTGAGAAAAATTCCATTAGGTTAAGGGTCCTCATCAAGGAAATAACTCTATTAAGAGTTCTCGATCAGAAAATATCGTAATTTCATTAAAGTTACACATTCTCAAGCAGAAAATAATTCCATTAAGTTAATGGTTCTCAATCGGAAAATAATTCCACTAAGTTGAGGGTTCTCAATCGGAAAATAATTCCACTAAGTTGAGGGTTCTCATTTGGAATATCAAGGATTTTAAAACTGTCAACAAACAAAAATTTGTTTAGTGTTTTTTTTTTATTGAAAGATGATAAACAAATTGACAATCCTCAAATGTTCAAATTTGTTAAATATCCCCCAGTAGCATGCTTTAAGAGTAACTTTTAGAAAATGTCAGAATCACAGGTCAATTTTCAATTTGTTTTTCTTCTGTTGCTACTACAAGTGATAAGAACTGAGAAGAAAGAGGAGCAAAGGGTTCAGGTGTCTAAAAGATGAAACACCGATTTTATCTACAGGGCACCATGAGAATTAAAGAGACTTTTCTCATCTGACTTGTTTTTTTCTTACCATAGGCGAATTTTCCAAATCTTGCGATACTCTTCGCTTACGAAGTTCTTCCAAACGATCAAAAACATCTTTTTGGTAAGTATTCAGATCTTTTGCATATCGTTTTGCTATCTCTCGAATGTTACCACGGGAACCATCCTATAGAGACAAAAAGAACAACAAGAATAATTAATTATAATATTGTAATTATTTTGTTAGTTGTCCATATATGCTTTTGACTTCATTGTGTTATTGACAAAAGCAACAACCTAGCTATCGTATATTGAAAAGGGTATCAAACATGGACAACAAATGCAGTTTGGAAAATATTTTGAAAAGCAATTGGGCTTTTATCTTGTTATAACTTTGGTCGCTTTCTTGCATAAACAACAAATTCAAACAATTCCACCAGACTTTATCTCCAGTGTTTACTGCCAACTAAATGTTTTGTTACATCAATCAAAACTAATTCAGTTTCACTTATCATTGTGGTCAAACCTTTTCACAAAAAGACTTTCTCGTCCAAATTTTTCTGCATTTTTTTCTTATATTCTTTAATATTTCTGAAAATAAACCCTAATTTTGGAGCCAACAGACAAAATTTGAGTCAATTTTCAGTTTTTACCCAAATTTTACTCAAAATTTGACAATTTTTATCCCAATCTTCTGAAGGAAAGTGCAGACTATAAACGGGACTATTTTGTGATGAAAAGAGGGCACTGGTGGTGAAAAGGTTAAAACATATACTTCACAAGATTTTAGTTTATATCAATATCAATTTCACTGATTTGCTCTAGGAAAAAATATTGATTTATTTCCCAAGTGAAACATGCTGAAAATTTGACTTTAATAATGAAGAGCATACTAGCGTCAAAGTACTACGTACATCATCTTCGATGCGGACCCCCATGATTTTTGTGAACGAAGTTGTTCTGATACACATTTTGTAGCAGTGAATATTTCCTTGCT